ATTTTTATGTATTATTTTTACATGTTTATTTTATATATATATACCTTAAAAACCGAACGCGCCTCTGTGGCCAAATCGCTAAAGACACGTCAAGCTAAATGACGGTTCCGTATAAGATACAGGTTCGAATCCTGTCGAAGGACAAATATTTTCTGTGAAAATTTCTCAGACATTCAGGCCGGTAATACTGTTTATTATAAACAGAGCATTTACTTAAATATTTGTATCTATAAAAAGAATGTATAAACATAAAAATGTCTTAAAATTCTTTTTTATATATATATATATATATATATATATATATATATATATATATATATATATATATATATATATAGGGTGTCCATGAAGTTCGTGTACACTTTAAAAAATTTATAATTTTATTTGTATTTTCGATAGAAATAATCTGCAAAAAATTTTATAAAGTTTAATGTATCTAGTTTTAAGTATAGCTAAAATAACTAATGTGATTTCAGGCATTACTGTAAATCAGTTGGCAAATGTTTTCCTTGAACTGGAAAATCGTATTACCCTTTGTATGATGGAGGACATGTGGAAAGTTAAATAAAATTTCAATAAAACCTTAAAAAATATAGATTTACTTCTTTCTAATTCTTTTTACAAATTATTTCTATTGCAAATACAAATAGTTTTAAATTTTTTAAGGTGCACACGAACTCTATGGAAACCCTGTGTATATATATAAAAATATATATATATATATATATATATGAGCACAAAAAATAGAAATATGTTTATATTCTCTCTCTATATATATATATATATATATATATGCGTGAAAGTAGGTCAATACATCCGCAGCCTATGTCTTAGTGATTAACTGAATTTTGATCTGGGATTATCCATGTATAATATTCGATCTCTGAGATTAATATTCACCACTGATTAATTTCATCGATGATTAAGGAGATTATGTTGAAAAATAAATGTTTGTTGCGTAACATAAATGCATTTAATTTTTCATCATTAGATTATTAACTTACCAATCGACACATATCCATAGCGGTTTAGATAAGTTGTTAAAAAAGTTCTATTTAATTTTTACCCATTTTTTTATTTTTCCCTGCTTATCTGACTTACCTTTAAAAAATGGAAATAAAATCCAGTTTTCATAGTTTTCCTTAATTTTGAATTTTCATTTTCCTGAACATTTATTCAAGTACACTTAACAGAGTATATTCATTGAAACTACAGCATCTGATCTGGAATCATTTACGTTCGAGAAACTCAGTGAGAGAAAAAAAATGGAAGGAAACCAGGTGAAGGAAAAAAAAATGACTATATTTAGGGGGAATCGGAAGATATGTAGATGAAAGACAAATTGTTAGTTGGATATCAAGAGACAGTAGGTAGAAAGGGAAAGGTGTAAAAATTGTGCATCGTTAAAATTCTTCCTGGATAGAGTAAAAGAAAGAGAAAAGAAAGGATGCATTTGGAAATATTTGTGTATTCATTACTTCTTTTATCACATATACAGTGTAACCCGGATATAAGAGAGTTGTCAGAACCGGAGAAGAAGTCTCTTATATCCGGGTTTCTCTTATATCCGGGTTTGGTCTATTTTATATACATTAACACAGGCTCTAATTTGGGACCAGAGAAAATCTCTCTTATATCCGGGTTACACTGTACAAACATGGGTGAGTTTCATAGTATTTATATATAAAATCTTGGCAGGGATAAGAAACTGTATAAGATACAGGTAAGTGGTGACAAAAGAGCACAGGTATGAGCAGAATGAATAATCTTAGTCATTAAAACTCATGGAATTGTATTCAGTGTAACCCGGATATAAGAGACCCGGATATAAGAGAAACCCGGATATTGGAGAGATTTTCTCAGGTCCCAAATTAGAGCCTGTGTTATTGTATACATATAGACCAAACCCGGATATAAGAGACTTCTTCTCCGGTCCCGACAACTCTCTTATATCCGGGTTACACTGTAGTTCCAGTTAATATATATATATAAGAGAGTTGTCGGGACTGGAGAAGAAGTCTCTTATATCCGGGTTTGGTCTATATGTATACATTAACACAGGCTCTCTCTTATATCCAGGTTACACTGCGTGTATATATATATATATATATACACACTAAGTGAATGTTGAAGTCAACCCTTAGAGGCGACAGGCTGTTCCATGCTAGACGCAATTGTGTTGACTTCAATGCTCACTTTTATATTTACACACGCTCTATCTCTGATATTGAGCACTTTATCCAATAAATATAGCACACCTTAAGAGTATATTTCTTCATATATATATCAAAGTGTAGGAGAACGAACAGTAATATTACAGGATTCAGAACATTATTTTAAAAACCGTGCTCAATACACAAAGTAGAGCTGTAAATATTTATTTATCTTACGCAGTGTTACATTAGAACATGCACATATCCACTACAAAATTGTACATTTTTGTTTCAACGTCAAAAAAAGGAAAACCTTTTTTAAACGTCTCATCAGGTGGGGAATCACGGTGTTACTAAAACAACAGAATCACGGTGTTTTTAGTAACACTGTAATTCCGTTGTTTTGATGAGACGTTTAAAAATGTTTTCCTTTTTTTGACGTTGAAACAAAAATGTACAATTTTGTAGTGGATATGTGCATGTTCTAATGTAACACTGCATAAGATAAATATTCGTTCTCATTCACTTTGATATATATATATATATATATATATATATATATATATATATATATATATATATATATATATATATATATAGGGCATAACCAGCATTATACATATGAAAATTTTTAATACAAAATTAAAAGCAAAAAAAAAAAAAAATCATTTTTTTGGACAAATAGATTTTTATGATTTAATTCCTTCAGTGCCAAATGAAAACATTTTTCACAACTTAACATCCCCTTTTTGAAATTCATGCCTGGTCTTCATTTTTTTCCTTCACACTATTCTGCAGCTAATGTTTTGTTGTCTTTTGGAAGACAATTTGCCCAGTAGTAATCAGAAATAATTTTATTTTCATTTTTTTTTTTATTTCATATCACTATATATCCTGGAAATTAAAATTAAAAGTAATAAAAATAATTTTAATAATTTTTTTATCATTATGTATTTTATTTTTAAATTAAAAAGTAAAGTACAAGTGTCAAATTTGACAGACATTTTTTGTTACCATCAGCTTATTTTTTTTTAAAAAATGATGATCTGTGGGAATTAAAAGAAGGCCTCTTATTTGTTTACTTTGCCCATATATAGTCCTCTCGTGACTTTTCTGGGCTTAGCCACGTCTTAGACATGCATAAAAGCATGAATTTGCATGTTTTGAAGCAGAGAGGGGCTACAGAGTGGCAAACAGCAAAACAGAGTTCTGACGTTTTTGGCAGGAGGTTGGAGGAGCTTGCCTATTAGGCCAAAAAATAGGAGCAACATAATCCTGCGTTCTCCTTAACTCACTGATAAGAGGAGCCGAGCGTCATCATGACAACTGGTTGCAGCAAAGGCCAAAATGGTCACTGTTCATCAAGAAGAAAATGTATTTGTTGTAAACATATGTTTTTTTTCTTCTGTAGGAGGATCAATTTACAATAAATTGATATAGCAAACTATTAACCTTTATAAAATTTAATAAAATACCTATGGATATTATTGATCTGAAGTGGTTAATCGATAATGATATGAAAAAGAAATTTTGAAATTATTATTTCTAGTTGCAATGTCTTTTGTCCAATTCCACTCTTTTGGTAATAGTAATTCTTCTATTCTTTGCCTACTCTAGCGTTACAAATAGAAATGCCAGGACAAATTATTTTCTTTAGATTTCTCCATGGCTCATTTCGAATTGCATGCTTACCTTTAAGATCATTTGGTTTCGGTTAATTAAACTTATAAGTTGATAAACTCCCACCAACAAGGCTATTCCAGATGATACTTGCATTTGATACAAAAGAGTAAACAGCTACAAAAAATAAATAAAACATTGGTAGTAAAGGCGTTAAAAGTAAATTGGCACTGGTGATTATACCTCCCCACTGCATTTTAACTCAGTGGTTAAGGCAAAAACATATTTCTAAATCATCCATATTAATAAAGTGTCAAATTCTCCATCTTGCCAAAGTACAGTTAAGTCTTTACAAGTTCACCCCAAATCTCAAATGGAACTCATATATATGACACATTGCTAAAGATGATGGGAAACTTGTCGGCTTCAGAAAGTACCAAGTTCCTCCTACCATGCTCTATCTTTACAAAACTCAGATTAGACTAAAAATGGAGTTTTGCCGTCATATCTGTGCTGGAGCTGCCAAATGCTCTCTTTGCAGTTTTGACAGAGTTCAAAAGTATTTAACTGTAGGTGATGAATTAATTTCTGCCCTACAACCTCTTTCCCACAGACATAACATCGCAAACTTATCATTACCATAAAAAATGTTCTAATGAGCTACATCCCATCATGCCGCCAGTTCAGACATTTACGGCTAGGACCCACCACGCTATGTAAACCAGGGTAAACATTTATATTCCTTTGATAAGAAGGAAGTTCCACACAGACATTTTCTTCCCAAGAACTGTTACATTATGGAACAGATGGTCAAGAAGATGATTCCTGATGACTACAATCTTAACCTCTTCTTCAAGTTTAGAGTCAACCATTACTTATCCTACATGTCCTCATAATCAGCACTTACTTCCCCACTCCTGCATCCACAGAACTACATTATTTATTAATGCTCTACTTTGAGTGGCTCTTGGGATTTGTATTATATGCACATTTATTAGAATGAAAAATATGTATAAAAATGTAATTGCATTGTAGGTGAAAAATTTGAATAAGGTCAAACCGCAGATAAACATTTGGTTAGGGCCTAAACCACAGATAAACATTTGGTCAGGGCCTAAACCACAGATAAATATTTGGTCAGGGCCTAAACCACAGATAAACATTTGGTCAGGGCCTAAACCAAAGATAAACATTTGGTCAAGGCCTAAACCATAAATAAACATTTGGTCAGGGCCTAAACCAAAGAAACATTTGGTCAGGGCCTAAACCACAAATAAACATTTGGTCAGGGCCTAAAGTTATAAACATTTAAAGGCCAGTCTGTAAAAAAAAATGTAATCCAACCCAATTAAAATAACCAACCTCATTCTGGGGAGTTTAGCAATATCAGCTTTTGTACGTCATTTACTCCCAATGCTCACTGTCCAGTGTATTTAAAAACAGACCATAAATGGAAAAACTCTGAATTTAAAACTGCCAAATATGGGAAAATAGAAAGGCAGTCTGCACTCTATAGCCATGGTTGGCAACCAGCTTAGGAGAGGGAGAATTCTCAATTCAAATATAGAGCCAGAGTCCCTAGGACAGTTCAATGTCATGTTCAGTTTCATTCTGACAACTCCTGCGATGAAACCAGTGACAAGTTGTATTGACCTCTGCCTTTCCTTTGGACAACATCAGTAGTGTGAAGAGACATGCTACATAGACAACTGCTGATCATTCTTAAAAACCCTGCTGAGGAAACAGTATAACTCTTCAGGCACCGATCCATGGTCTCTCAAGATGCCATTCAGAAGGGCTGCATGGACTTTCAAACTCCAATCTAGGAGAAGGAAAATTTGAATCCAATACTAGTTAGCTATTCCATCCCATAGAACTACCGTATATATATTCAAGTACAGTGCAAGTTTTTATGATCAGTTCTTTATTTTCACTCAAAAAAAAAAATAAAAAAAAAAATAGGGGCTCACACTATACACAGGTAATTTTTTTGATGAGGTTAAAAATCAGACATGAACAAAAACAGAAGTGCAATATCTAAATGTTTGTATCAGATATTTTACGGTAAATGATTTTGCTTACCATTTTGGGGTAGTTTTTTTCCAAGAACAAAGACCATTTTTTTTATGTCCAAGATTATGCCCAGTTCTGCAATATTCTTGCTTCTTAGATAAAAAATTTCTGCTTGCTTTGTTAATAATTTTGCTCTATCATATGATTGTTACTTTTTCGATACCTAGTATACACTAGATTAATGCGAGATTTTGTGTGATCAATTTTTACATAAAAAAAAAAATAGGTGGTCATGCTATACACAGGTAATTTTATGAAAAAAAAAATTTGTTGATTTTATTTGGCATACATAGTGGATGATGTCTTGCTCTTCATGTAGTGACAAAAAGAAAGAAACTTAGACTACGTAGGAGGCAGGCCTAGGTTAAAGGAGCTACCGTAGTCAGACATGAATGAATACAAAAGTATGGCATCTAAATCTTTGTATCAGATATTTTACAGTAGGTGGGTTTTCTTACCATCTTGGGGTAGCTTTCTATAAAAAAAGAATTAAGACAATTTATTTGTGATAAAATATGTCCAGGATGATGCCCAGCATTGCAATTTTTAACTATAATAGGCCTACTAGTATTGCCCAGAAACAAGGGTTGCATTATATATGAGGTTAAGAAAAAAATCAGGTTTTTAACAGGGGTCACACTATACATTTAGTCGACTTATGCACAAGTATATATGATACTTGATAGAGAAACCACACAGCAACCCGGTAGGGTGAGAATGTGGCCCTAAATTTGACAGGACATCTACAGGGTTAACAAAATGACAGTCTTGTAATTAGTAAACTTCTGTTTTTTTTTACCTGTACCCTAACAAGATATGTTTTATTATACTGGCATGTTTTACCTGAACCCTAACATGACAAAGAATTTGATGTGGTCCATTAATTTGCTACTTGCACAAATTAATCAACTGATAATTGGTACATTAATTACTCAGCATAATCTAATTAAGATGCTTGAACAACTTTAAAGGCACTCAGGAGGTACTGTCCAAGTGATGGATCCCAAGTGCCACTTGGTATTTGTAAATTCTTTTGGAAACATGGATCTTCATACCAGAAAAAAAAAAAAGTAAGAAAATAAAAGTAGTGCCAAAAGGATGGTTTTTCCCTTGACACTGCTATTATTTTAACTACCTTCACTCCTCGACAATGTTGTTTTAAAAAGCAATGATTAGAATTGTAATGAAACCTAAACATGATGATGGTGATTTATACATTTTTTTCTTGATAATTTACAACAAAAATATTAAACAATATTTATTTATTAGATTGTATATTTACAAGAATAACTTTATATTTACAACATTCAAAAAACTAATGCAATTCAATATTTATCATTTACCAATTTATAAAGAAATAAACATGAAAACAATTTTTTATTCATAAATTTATAAACATTTATTAAATTACTGAAATATGTGAACCAACTCTAAGGAAATTCTTATGTTTTACCATTTTTGAAAGCTGATGTTTTACCATAATTCCAATAAACAATCTAAGAAATAAATAAATAAATAAATAATGTTTGTTGTTAATTCTCAAGATCAAATAAAATGTGTAAATTCACCTTCATATGTTTACAAATTTGATCATCAATTCGATTATGCTGAGTAATTAATGTACCAATTATCTGCTGATTTTGTGCAAACTGCAAATTAATGGTCCACATCAAATCCTTTGTCTTGGTAAAGTACAGGTAAAACATGTTAGTGTAAAAAACATGTCTTGTTACGGTAAAAAAAATAAATACAAAAAAAAATACATCTTGATTCAGATGATTAAACATTGTTTTATACACCATAATTTACAGTGGCTTCTCATTTAATTAAAAAAAAAAACATATTAAACAAAGAAAAGCAACATAAATGACAAAAAAAAAAAACAATAAAATTCCTACTGCATTGTTTCCTTGTAAAATGGTAATGTGACCAAGAAACTTCTAGAAAGCTGACAAGATACTGACATCTCAACCCCGAATTCGTGTGTGGTCAAGTCATAAGTCTCCATGTGATCACAGTCATTTCCCATACAATAGATCTTACCATCCAATTCAGCACAACTGCCAAAGACGTCCTTGTATTGGCCGAGGCAGGTCCATGCCTCATTCTGGTCAATAACCGAAGGGTCATACTGATAAAGCATATTGTTGTAACCGCCTTGAATAATAATTATTGAACCTACAGTGATAGCGGACATAACAGTAAATCCAGGTGTTTTGGCGGGAGGGACATCAGAGGTCACTATGGTCCACTGGTTGGTATTGAGGTTGTAGCTTTGAATGTCTAGCGTCTTGAAAAGGTACACGCGATGGTTGACACTGGTTGCAGTTGCAGCAAATTCAGGCCGGATCAAGTCAGAGCACACAGTCCAAGAATCTGGAAAAAGAAGGAGAAAATAAGGAATAAAGAGGGTTTTAAGTATCTGCAAGAATTATGTGTTATAATTGATGGTAGATTTCAGCAGGAGAAAAATCTTTGTAGCAGTGGTGGGTCCTGAAATTTCATTTTTATATATATATATATATATATATATATATATATATATATATATATATAATATATATATATATATATATATGAAGACATATAGTCTTAAGATGTGTTATATTTATGGGATAAACTGCTCAATATCAGAGATAGAGTGTGTGTAAATATAAAAGTGAACATAGAAGTCAACACTTAGAGGCGACAGTCTGTTTCATGCTAGATGCAATTGTCAGGCCACAAGTGCTGTTATTTTTCTCAGCTATTTATATATATATATATATATATATATATATATATATACGGGTCAGTGGTGCATTGTGGGTAATCTATTTTGGTGGTTATTTTACCAGAATTTATTTATTTAGGTTAAATTATTTTGCTTGTTTTTATTTATTTTTATTTTTTATTTTTAATCTTATATATATATTTTATTTTTTTTTTTTTTTTTAATCATTGTTTTTATTAACGTAGTAAAAATTTGTTTATATCGCTTATTTAATAGTTCTGTTTTGGTTTGGGAAGATAATTAAAGCTATTTATTCAATTTTGGGGTTGATTGTTATAGTTTATGTGTGTGTGTGATAGTATTTAAAACAAAAGTGGAGCTGATGAGAAAATGGAAAAGCTATAAACAACACATTTTGGCAAAAGCCTACTGGGAGGGATAATTCAAAGGAGGACATGGATCCAAAGTGAGCTCAATGTAAGAACAGAGCAATATAATAATAATAAGTACAGATGATCATTAAAAACCCATTCACTTATAATTTATTTCATGAACATACAAAAATATAAAAAGATATTCACTCTTCAGACCAACGTTTCTTTAATAAATGGAGTCAATTTATCCAGACAAAAGGAAAAGGGAGAGGAAAAAAGAAAAAAGGAAATTGAACAAGTTTTAATATTAAAAGAGGAAGAAAAAGAAAAATTTCAATATAAGGTTTTAAAAATATTTGAGAGAGAAAAAGAAAGAGAGAGAGACCAGGAGAGGGGAGAGGGAAGGAGAGAGAGGGAAAGAAAAGAAGGAGAAAAAATTAAATATGAGTCAATTGGTTTTCTATTTTTTTAAGGACTGAACAAGTTAAAATACAGGGTGAGGAAGGGGAGCAATCAGATTCAAAGAAGATATATTAAAATGTCATGTCATTTTCAACAGTGAAAACCATCATCACAATTACAAATTGAAAATAATCATCACAATTACAAATTGAAAATAATAATACTAATAATACTAATAATATTTGACATCAATAAAATAAAGTTAAAGTAAAATGAAATAAGTTAAATAAAAATACAAAAAATATACATAAAAATTAGAATAAATAGACTTCATTTATTAAAGAAACGTCAGTCTGAAGAGATGAATATGTTCATGAAATAAATTATAACCAAATGGATTTTAAGGATCGTCTGTACTTATATATACACTGGAACCTTGGTTCACAAATTTAATTCATTCCTGGAGGCCGTTTGTAACCCAAAATGTTCGTAAATCGAAACTATTTTCCCAATAGGAATCAATGTAGAGAAAAAAGTCACAGTGTAATAAAATTGGAAAAGAAAAGCATGCCACAACACATGAATGTATACAATACAGCAGTCAACTCAGAAATTATTTCTATTCATGTTAACTTGGTTCAACTATGTTATTTGAGAACCAAAATTTTGTTCAATAACCAAGGCATTTTCATCTCGAATTTTCTCTCCAAAACTGATTTGTTTGATATGTGAGATCTTTGAAAACTGAGGTTGCACTATATACACACATATATATATATATATATATATATATATATATATATATATATATATATTAATGTGTGTGTATCAATTAAGAAAAATGTTAAAGGTCTTATTTCTTGATCATCTTCAGTTTCATGTAATACCACTCATCATGGACAAATCTATTGAATTATTACCAGAGTAATAATTCAATAAATTTATTAAGATATATCATTTGCTAATAAGAATAATAATTAAAATTTATCATTTATTAATAACTTTAATACATCTATTAAAATCTGTTAATTCAAATGTTTGATGTGCAGCATTATATGAAATCCTGGAGTTGATGACAAGATCAGACACTGGAATATTTATCAACAGAATACTTTCGTTCTAATTATCTATTGATCACCTTATTGAAAAAAAAATTCTGCTAGCCTTAAATTGCATTAAATTCTGATGCATCTTGATTGCTGTCTATATTTCTAAGATGAGGTATTATGTACACAATTTACATTATTCAAACTATCGTCCTCAACTTTGTTGCCATATTTATTACAATGTTTCAGCCTTTCAGTATCTGTCTATATTTCTGAGATGAGGTATTACATAGACTATTTATATTATTCGGACTATTGTTCTCATCTTTGTCGCCATATTTATTACATTTCAGTGTGGCTGACCACATATGAAGAGAAAATGGAGATGACCGCCCTCTGTGGGACCAGGTTGAGATCACAGACAAGGAACACCATTGGAAAATTCATAAACTTAAGAAATCAGCACATATGCTAAGCCACAAAAATCTCCTGAGCCGACCAAGCATAGAAATGAATACAATATGGGAACCAGTAATAAGGAGTGCCAGAGAAAAGCGATAATAACAACAAAAACTGAAATATGAGCTCTGGTAAAAATATGTATGATAACAGCAAAAAATTGCAGTATGAACACTGGTATAAAATGATACTGACGACATTAGGTTTATAATACCCAGAAATTCATACACAGATGTCCTCAAGGACACATCGCACAGTGGATAACGGCATTGGTTAGAGAGAACCCAAAGAGTGTGAGTTCAATACCTTCCTTAACCAGGTATTGAACTCACACTCTTTGGTTCCTGTCCCTGGATCTAACTAACGCCTTTATCCACTGTGCCATGTGTCCTTGAGGACTCAAAGAATGTAAATTCAGTACCTGGTTAAGGCAGTGGAAAATTTGGAGAGAAGAATTGACAGGAGATATCTGATATCCATTAAACATCGCACGTGGAACTAGAACAGTCTACCTCAGTGAGCGAAATAAAGGGTTCAGTTCGACATTCTAACCACCTGAAGAAGGCCGATGTGTACAACGGCCGAAACGTTGTAGTAAATATGGCAACAAAGATGAGGACAATAGTCCAAATACTGTAAATAGTGTATCTTGATTGCGGTTATTAATTTGTATTATTATGTTGATGTTTTCAAGATAAATTCTCTTCTTGAGTGATGACGTCAAAAAGACTTCTCACAACTCCAGAAATTTTCAGAGAGAATCTTGGCAGAGTAAATGATGGTAGTTTTCTGAAGGTCTGAAAACTTTGTCTCAGTTCCAATTTTCCCTAATCGATCCTTTAAGTTTTTATGTGGTGTTCCAAAGGCATCCATCACAACAGAAATTACTTCAACAATCTTGTTCCATAACTTCTTCAACTCTAAGCTAGAACTTGGTTATTATTATTAAGTTGGTCCCACACATTGATGTCATCAATGGAAAGTCAAACAAGACACCTTACAACACAAAAACTTTGTCTTTTTACAAATACTTTCATGGTAACTGCTCCAAGGAGCTGCTTTCGCTGGTTCCCAGACTTCATGAATTTAAGCGTTCTACTAGGCTGGCATCTCGCTCTCACCCTTTCACTGTCAAAAGTATTAAATGTAGCTGTCTCTTCTACTCCAATAGATTCATGTCTCACACCTCTCGCCTGTGGAACTCCCTATCCTCTTCCTGTTTCCCTGATAGCTATAATCTTCAATTATTCAAATGTAATGTCAATCAAAGTCTCCAAATGCCTTGATCTATACGCTATCCTTCTCTTCATCCTTTCCTCTCTCACCCCTATTTGCTCTTGCTCTAACTCTCTGTAACCCCTTGTGTGCTAGTGGCTTGGGGTGAAATGCTTAAAAAAAAAAAATAAAAGGAATCCTTGCAAAGTAAATGATGGCGCTGTATCTTGTCGGCACACCCACAATTTTAAAAGCAACTGGAAGGAAAAGTTTAACCAATGTTGTTGTTGCAAGACTGATTCAAGATATAAAGAGGCCTCAAAAGCAACAAGGAAAGCTTCTGCAGTCTATTCCATGGGAGGGTTATCATCTGTTACGTCTCTGTCTTCAGGCAGAGTGCAATGCAGTTGTGGTCTTTGTCTGTGGACAGAGGTGCAGCTGAGGAAAATAAATACTATGACATGCCTGGTCCTGGGGAACAGCTGCCCAAAGCTGCTCCTCCCCACTTCATTGCATCACAGAGGGTGGATCGGTAGTCGCTACTGAGACCAGCACAACTGACAGTTTTGAGCACTGAGGAATATTTGTACCTGGCCTGATCTTGTGTCACACCTCATCTCAGTGGGGAAACTTGGTTAAAAACAATAAGCATTCCACGGTCAAGATGACGAGGATAAAAGTGTTGTATCTGTTCCAGCAGCAGCTGCCGACAACCAGCTCACAGCTCCAGCTTGCCATTTGCCGTTGCTCCAGTCATCAATGTTAGGTCACCAGCTCCTGCCACTCCAGCTAGCTCCAACAAGCTTCCTGCTCCAGCTATTCTCACCAGCAGCAACAACATGGCAATTTACCCACATATGCATGGATCTCTCCCAGCTATAAATAGGAGCAGCTACTGCCTTTTGGAGAGGGAAATTTCCAGCAGTCAGCTCTGATGGTCGGACCAAACATTCTTGCTGTAACACTCATTTGTATATGTTTGTATTACCGTTTCTGTTAATATATTTGTTTAATTCAATTCCTCTCTTTGTGTGTTTATTTCTGGCCCTAACGAGTCCACAACAGATATACAATAAACTATCGTTTTCAGGACAACACCGTTCACTGATTACAAATCTATCCTTATCAGAAGAATGCTATTCTTGTACTCTACATGAGATTGCAGAG